ATAGAGTGCAACGAATTCCGCGTTGATCATCTAAACGATGAGGAGAAAGAAAAACTAACAAAAATCTTACATGAATTTGGGGATATTCAATACCGAGAAGGTGAAAATTTGACCTTTACAAGCCCGGTTAACTACCCATGAAGATCTGGCTTATAAAAAACCATACAAATATGGCCAAGCATTCGACCAAGAAGTCGAAAACCAGATCAAAGATATGATCAAACGAGGGACAATTCGCAAGTCGAAATCCTCTTACTGTTCGCCAATTTTGATCATACCCAAAAAGAGGGATGCATCCGGCAAACAAAAATGTAGAATAGTCATTGACTATCGAAACTTAAATGAAATCACAATTGATGACAAATACCCCATACTAGCAATGGATAGCATACTGGGAAAATGTCAGTATTTTACTACTGACCTCGGTAAGGGCTTTCGCCAAATCCAAATGGATGAAAGTTCAATTCCAAAGACAGATTTTTCAACTAAAAATGGACATTACGAGTACACTCGAATGCCGTTTGGTTTGAAAAATGCACCTGCAACGTGCCAACGCTGCATGAACAATCTTCTGGAAGATTTAATCTACACAGATTGTCTTGTCTATATGGACGACATAATTGTATACTCCACTTCATTGAAGGAACATATTTTGTTATTGAGGAGGGTAATCACGAAATTAAAAGAAGCCAATTTAAAATTGCAATTAGACAAATGTGAATTCATGAAACAACAATCAATTTTAGAACTGCGGATTTTACCGAAAGTTCATCCTAATTTTGCGAAAATAGAAAAACCAATGACGGCAAAACTAAACAAGAGGTCTGAAGCCTCCGACTAGGGGATACCCTGAACTCTCTTATTTCAACACCAAATTATATAAGCCAACAACACCAATTAATAAAAAAAAGTTCCCTTGGCAGGGCTCGAATTTGCAACTGACCGCATTACTTACTGTCGACTAAGCTTAACAGCCACACCAGCAAAAAAAAATAATAATAAACTTTCCCCGGTAGGCCTTGAACTCGCGACAGACCGCACCACTTGCTATGCCTCTACTCAGCAGCCACGCCAATAATTAAGTACTTATGATAAAAAAGGAACTAAAATAACATTACAAAAAAAGATGCAATTACCATGCTATTAGAATGCGAAGCAGACGCGCATGAATGTGTGTGTGTACATGTATACAGAAATTCTTAAAGCTGCTGCCCCATTCCATTCGCAGTTGCATATAACTTTGGTTTTTCTTAACCGATCTTTATAATAATTTCTACAGTATATCTTATTGTACCATAGAATTTTTGTGTATTCTGAAAAAATCAATTGCATTTAAATTGTGGTTTAAATTTGTTGGCAATAAAAGTTGCGTTATTAACTTGATTTATAGCTCTGGAGTGGTAGCGGGGAGGTGGCGATAGGTATGAAATGAAAGATACTTGAAATATCTATAATATTCTAGAAGCCACATATCATGTTTGGTGGCTCTATCTTATTATTTACCCAATTTGCTAAAAAAACAGGATGTCGATATCGATTGCTTGGAAACGGAGTAAGTTATCGATTATCGGAAACAAATTCGATCTGCGCGGGAACTAGGAGCATCTACATCTAAAATTTCAAGTCTCTAGCTCTTATAGGTTCTGAGATCCTTAAGCTCATACATACGGACGGACGGACAGATAGACGGACATGGCTAGATCGACTCGGCTATTGATACTGATCAAGAATATATATACTTTATGGGGTCGGAGATGGTTCCTTCTGCCTTTTACATACATTTGGATTTTGCACAAATACAATATACCCTTTTACCCATTTTTAATGGGTTCAGGGTATAAAAAGATTGCAGTTATAAACATTAAAGATAAACTATACACGGAACAATTTGAAAAGTTAAAATTACTTATAAAGTCCGATCCGATAATTGTAAGTCCCAATTTCGAGAAAAAATTCTCACTAACTACAGATGCCAGTAATATTGCTATAGGAGCAGTATTATCACAAGAGCATTAACCAATCTGCTACGCAAGCAAAACACTAAATGAGCACGAAATTAATTATTCGGCAATAGAAAAAGAAATATTAGCTATTGTCTGGGCCACCAAATACTTCAGGTCCTATCTATTCGGTAGAAAATTCGGGATCCTTAGCGATCACAAGACCCTAGTTTGGTTAAATAACATGAAAGAACCAAATATGAAGCTACAAAGGTGGAAAATCAAGCTAAATGAGTTTGACTACTATATCAAATATGTCCCTGGAAAAGAAAATCATGTAGCAGTCTCCTTATCACGAATTAAAAAAGAGGAAAATCTATTAGGAGAAACTTCAGATAGCATAGCCTCAACCATACACAGTGCGCAAGAAGATAATGAAAACCATATTCCTATCACAGAAAGACCTATTAATTATTATAACAGAAAACTGGAGTTCATAAAAGCTAATATTAACACAGTAGAAACTATACACTACGTTCACAAAATAAAAATTAAAATTTCTTATCAGGAAATGACCAATGAATACGCTAAAGAAATGATTAAAGAATATCTATGCACTAAGTGTAATTTACTTCCAAACTTTAATATTTTCCAAAAGGCCAATGTTGAAATACTCAACCCAAATAACTTATCAAAAGTGATGAAAGTGAACAAGTTATAAAACCTATGCAAAGTTCAAGGAAATCATCCTTAAAAGTCATAAGGACTTATTGCATCCAGGTATAGAAAAGGTCACAGCCCTTTTTAAAGAAAAATACTGTTACCCTGACCACCAAAAGTTAATGCAAAATATTATAAACGTATGCGAAATATGCAATATATCCTAAACAGAACATAGAAATACTAAACTTTCTTTTCAAACGACTCCAGAAACGTTTAACCCCCGAGAGAAATACGTCATGGATTTTTATATCATTGACAATAGACAGTGCATGGACATTTAATCCAAGTACGCAGCATTAATAGAGATAAACAGCAGAGATTGGCTCGAAACAAAACGAGCAATCCTCCAAATTTTCAACCTAATGGGTAAACCAATAGAAATTAAAGCAGATAAAGATTCAACATTCATGTGCGCAGTACTCCATATATGGTTACAGTCCGAAAATGTCCAAATAACTATAGCTACTAGCAAAAATGGAATATTTAGTATTGAGAGATTTCACAAAACAGTTAATGAAAAGCTTAGAATAATTAAGAGCGAGTCCGATCCAGAAAATAAATTATCAAAATTTGAAACGATGCTTTATACGTATAATCATAAGACAAAACATAATACAAGTGGTAGAACACCAGCCGATATCTTTATATATGCCGTAACACCCGCATATAATACCCAAGAATATAAACGTAATAAAATAACAAATTCAAACGGAAAACGCCAAGAGTTTAAAATAGACAGTCGATTTTTAGCATCATTCCTTGTAAGATCTAAAACAACTCCATTCGAGAAAAAACAGGAAACCTCAAACAAATAGATGATAAGCATTACGAAGAAACGAATAGAGGTAGAAAAATCACACATTTACAAATCTTAATTTAAGAATCCGAGAAGTCCAACTCCAAAGCTTAGAAATCAACTCAACACAAGCTAAAAATGGCTACTTAATCTTTAAGACAGAAGTAATACACTTACCCGTAAACTACGAATACCATTATCTGTCTGTTAATATAACTAAAACAGAACAAACATATAACATAATCATGAGAGACATCCACAGATAAGATACTTAAAAGAAAAATTAGAATGAGAAATACATGGCATAAGAATAGCAAAACGTAGCAAACGCGGTCTTGCTAACATTATGGGCACAATTTTTAAATATCTATTTGACACATTAGACCAACAAGATATAGAAGAATTAGAATCTAAAATGAATAATATAGCAGAAAATATCGTTCAAGCAAATGAACTAAATCGAGTAATAAAAACAGTTAATACAGGCATAGAAACCATAAATAACTTAAATCAAGCAGACGAGGAAAACCAAAGGTTAGCACTCCTTATATTCAACCTCCAAGAATACACAGAATACATAGAAGACATAGAGTTAGGTATGCAACTAACTAGATTAGGAATTTTCAACCCGAAATTACTAAAATATGACACTTTACAAAAACATGACACGTTTCAGAAAAATTATTAAATATCAAAACTTCGACTTGGTTAAAAACAGACACCAATCAAATTTTAATCATTTCCCATATTTGATCGCAAGGATATCAGAATCTATAAGAGCTAGAGACTTTTTATTTTAGCTGTAGGTGCTCCTAGTGCCTGCGCAGATTGAGTTTGTTTCCGATAATCGATATCTTACTCCGGTTCCAAGCAATCGATAAAAATCGATATCGATATCCTGTTTTTTGGGCAATTTTGGTAAATAATAAGAGCTAGAGTCCCCAAATTTGACATATATTTTCTAAAATAGAATATATATATGCATTTGATGTTGGAAGAAGAGGGTTTAGGGTATCCCTCAGTTGGGAGCTCCTGACTAGAACCTCTTACTTGTTTAATTTGTTTGGTGTTGAAAAAAGAGGGCTTAGGGTATTCCATAGTCGGGAGCTTCCGACTAGAAGCACTTGTTACTTGTTTGTGTCTGGTTCGCTCGGAACAGCACACCTTGATATCTGTAAAGTGTTAAATACTCCTATTAAACGCATTAACACACTATCGACGTGGTCGTTGTGTCTCTTATTGTGTACGTCGGAGTCATAGTGACTCATTCGAACCCAAACAAAATTCTAAGCAAAACCGTTCATCACACAGAATGATTAAAAAATTGTCGAAATAGGTTTCTTTTTGCTTACTATTTTGGCGAATTAGGTTGAACAAATTGTTGATGTTTAAAAAAATGTTATTTTGCATCTAACGTTTGCATCTAGCGTACAGTTTTAAATTATATCCAATATGTCTTTTCTCACATCGCAAGTCACATTATTTTATTGAGACGATTACGATTAACTCCTTTGCTGCCGTCAAAAAAATATTCTTCGCTGAACGTTGTATTGTGGCTTTATTTTTGCGCGTAGTTTTTCTTGTCGATTTATTTCTCGAGTTCTCTTTTATTTTAAAAAAAGATATGACAAATAATTTTGGTAACAATAAGCAAAGCTAACCTAAGAGTACTCGTGAGTCTTCTTCGTGAGCGACTGTGAGAAAGTAAGTTTATGTATTCGTTGTTTTGAATGCAAGCCTCGTCTGCTAACACAAGTTATTAAAAATTTACCAGCAGATCGACTCCGAGCGTTCTGCCCATTCGCTATCCATGGCGTCGATTTGTGTTGCTCACTCAATTAGCACGACCTTTTGAATGCGTCGAAAGCCTACATATAAGTTGTGCATCGCATTATTAGTTTCCTTAGCTTCGTTTTATACTGACTTATCAACAAATACTTTTATAATCGTCGACCGTCGAGAAGTCACGTTGACCATCAATTGCGATAGCGCGATGATTTTAGTCGAAAGTTTCAGGAGTTGCGAGCTCCAATCGAGGAAGACGCCGACATAATTCGTGAAGCCACAGTAAAAAGCGTATGCGACAGGCTAGAGCTTCCAGACGACTCTAGTCGCGGTGGCAGCCGAGCTAAGTTCCAGGCCATATGAGCTCTCAGCGATGAACCCAGCGACGGCGAGACTCACACGCCAGGCCACCTGGGATGCCCATTAAGGGCTCTGCCGACAGAAGAGACTTCGGAACATCAGGGTCTAACCTGTCTAAATCGATGGCACGCTGTCATGTCGCTCGAACGATAGTTCTGCTGGCAATGGTTAAATGAGTATGTGCTCGGACTCCAAGCTCGGACCAAATAGCACCATCGCCTGCCAAACGCCATCGTGGACGAGCTGGTGGTCGTCGTTGAGGACGAGCTGCTGCCCTAGCAGTGGCTGATCGGCAGAGTGCCGGCAGTGCACGCAAGAGACGACGGCGTCTTTCGAGTCGCTGAAATTAGAACGGCCAGTGGAAAGCAATATTATAGCCCTGTCCACAAGTTACCAATGCTGCGCTTTCCAGTTTAATGAAGACAACAAGCCACTCACGGTGGCCGAAGATGACGCATATCTGCGCTTTCAAAAGTATAATTTGAATAAATTTGTAGTCTAGTGTTACTTAAGTTTGGGTGAAGCTCCTCGCTTCGCCATCGTAGCTTAATCTAGCCTTAAGAATGCATGGTCACTTAGTTTTCGAAATTATTGTTCCCTCTTACGCGAATAACCCGTTATTTATACTGCTCCAACAACCCTAAAACACTAATTTTCATACTTCTATTTAAGGCCTTGACATCCGCAAGATAAATTTAAGAAGAGGCGCACGGATAAATATCTCATGTGTGACGGGTCGCCATGGAAAATGATAGGTAAAAGCGAATGGCGACCGACACATATATCAATGTAGATATACTTCTTATAACAAAAATGTATTCAAATATTATTACCTGCTTATTCGATTTTTAATAGCATTGGGTTTTTTCGAGTTTTAATTTTTTATTAAATTATAATATATCTAACTAAATTATTTAAATTATAACAATATTTGACAGCTTTCAAATAACATATACGTTTATATTTCAGTCTCTGTCTTAGTACCCTGAACTTTGTGAAACTGGGAAAAAAAATAAGTATGGTGATTTTGTGCAAATGCATTTAACAAAATGAAGTGGAGAGCAACAGCTAGAGCTTTCAAAGTGAAGCATATTATATATTTGTATAGAAGATAGTTCGGCGCTTATGGCGTATTTGTATAGCTTTGGAAAAGGTAAGATAATGTGTAGAAAAATGAATCTCATATACATTTATTCTTGGACTTCGCCGAGATTCTAACCATTCCAGTCTGCCTGTATGTCCGAGATACAAGAGCTGGGGACTTAACATTTTGAACGTAAGTTCGCCTATTGCCCGTGCTGATCGTGTTTATTTTAAAGGATCGATAAAATGCCACGTTTCCATAAAATTGATTAAACTTGTTAAAGTCCTTGTATAGAGTATAAAGATAGTAACATTAAAATTTGTTAGTTTAATACTCATTATTTTTTTTTTTTTTTGTGGTGTAGCTGTTGAGTAGAGTCGACAGCATGTAATGCGGTCAGTTGCGAGTTCGAACCCTGCCAAGTCAACTTTTTTTTTTTAAATTTTCTTGGTGCCACAAGCAAGCAAGCCACAATTTAAATGCAATTGACTATTTGATTATACACAAATATTGTGTGGTACAATAAGATATACTGTAGAAAATTTCATAAAGATCGGTTAAGAAAAAACCAATGTTATATGTAGCTGCGCAATTGGATGGGAACTAGCCAATACTTCAAGAATTTTTGTATACATGTACACACACACATTCAAGCGCGTCTGCTTCGCATTCTAACAGCATGGTAACTGAAACTTTTTCTGTAATGCTATATTAGTTCGTTTGTTTCTCATAAGCACTTAATATTGGTGTGGCTGCGGTCAGTTGCGATTATGAGCCCTCCCAAGGCATCTTTTTTTTACTTATTTGGTGTTGGAATAAGAGGGTTCAGGGTATTCCGCAGTCAGGAGCTCCCGACTAGAACCTCTTACTTGTTTTCTCATAAGTAGTTAAATATTAATATGGCTGCTGAGTAGAGGCATAGCAATTGGTGCGGTCTGACGCGAGTTCGAGCCCTACCAGGGAAAGTATTTTTTTTTGTTGTTGGTGTGGCTGTTGAGTAGATTCGACAGCAAGTAATGCGGTCAGTTGCGAGTTCGAACCCTGCCACGAGAGCTTTCTTTTTATACCCTGAACACATTAACAATGGGCAAAAAGGGTATATTGTATTTGTGCAAAATGCAAATTTATGTAACAGGCAGAAGGAAGCATCTCCGACCCTATAAAGTATATACATTCTCGATCAGCACCAATAGCCGAGTCGATCCAGCCATGTCCGTCTGAATGTCCGTCCGCCTGTCCTTCTGTCCGTCCGTCCGTCTGTCCATTGGTATGAACGCAAGTATATTACAACCTATAAGAGATAGAGACTTGAAATCTTAGATGTAGGTGCTCTTAGTGCCTGCGCAGATCAAGTTTGATTCCGATAATCGATAACTTACTCCATTTACAAGTAATCGATAAAAATCGATATCGATATCCTGTTTTTTGGGCAATTTTCAAGTTTCTAAAATCGAATATATATAGTGACATATGTACCACACCCACAACATATACTATAAGTACACATACACTCATCTAACCGAATACAGCATATAACATATGTCCACAGCACCTAATGCCAACCCCTTACACATAAGCCCTAGCAACTAAGCGCATCACATATGTGACATGAGACACCCCAATTTGTAAACAATAGACCCCAGAGCCCCAAAATTATAAATTCTTGGTGACAATAACAATTCTGGCGTGGGACCAATCATAAAATCGAATACCATTAGACATAAACATCCGCCATAATCCTTATTCCCACCAAATGCCCAATTTGCCAACGCAGCTCAAATTCAGGCTCTTAGTATATTTTTGAAACTCATTAAAATAATGAGAGTATTGTTAAAAGAGAGCGAGCTCATGATCTTCAGCCCTCAGCCGAGATTGGCTAAGCGTTGACAAAATTATACAAGTTGAGTTTTACTGAAGACGTTAAACCGTCAAGTTGCATCGTGCACAAACTGTAAATTCCAATAAGCCACGCTGGTCTAAATAAAGTTATATTTTTCTTAAACAACGCGTATTGGTTTATGTAATTGGCGCAGCCGGTGGGATGCGCCAGTGATATAAGACCATTAACGGACAATCGTTGCCCCAGGTCTTTAAAGCAAATCGTGGTCGGCGCTGATGATCGACGCGAACGCACAATCATTGGAAAATCGTATCCGCAAAAGAACACACGCGAAACTTGCCGCAAGTGCTCATTGACCTCTCAAGGATTATAAGATCCCAGGTCAAACAAAAACCCGACATTGCAATTTCATTGCAATTATCTAGTACTCTACCAAGCATTGATTCTTTGGACAATCTGAGTTACTAGGTAGTGAATTTTAATTCACAACACAAAAGTGAGTGTGCCCTTGGCCTTGCAAATCCTTTGATCCCTGCAAGACACACTCATTGGTAACGCGCGCGAAATAACGCCATACCTAAACAAAAAAAAATTACACCAAGAACAAAAACAACAACAAAAGTGAAAAGTGGACACCATGGCGCAACCAAATGAGCCAGTCTTGCAACTAAGCGAGCAACACCTTTCACAAGCACTAGGCCAAATAAGGCAAGTGCCAACATTTAATGGAGCCACCGAGGAGCTAAGCGCCCTATAAGGCGCATCGACTTCATCATGCAGTTATATCCAACGAGGGATATTGGCCAACACAGCGTCCTGTTCGCAGTCATCGAAATGCAAATAGGAGGAGACGCGTAGAGGGTCACGAAGCTATCCCCTGCCAACACCTGGACAGAATTGAGGTCGAAGCTCATCTCACCGGAAGTATTTGTAAGTATTCGTTATAAGTTAATACTAGAAGACAATTAGATGAATACCATGTTGTATACAAATGCATTAAAAAACAAAGTTCAAGACGTTATTATGAGGAAGTTGCCGATAGGTTATTCATGATCAAAGAGAAGGCGTTTACGATGTAGTATTGTTCGATAGAAATAAAAGCGCAAGCAACCAAACCAAACCAGCTACTTCTAACAAAAATCGAGGTAAAATTGAGTACAGAAAAACCCCAATTTTTAATCAATCAACAAAATAACAAAACTATAGTAACTATATACAAAAACCAAAATCCCAAGTTGACTGTAGTCCACAGATAAGTTTAGTCCAAATCTAACCAAAGGCAGGGCACAAAACCCTCTTAATTACCAAAATAACCAAAAACATTCATCCGCCCCCAATCCGCCATCAAAAAGGCAACGCGAAAGCGGTAGTGGTCAAATGAAAATGGACACGTCCGAAAATTTTCTTCAAACTGCGTCGGAGTCAGAAACCGAAGAAGAACCAACCCATTTATCAAACTAACCATGAATAATAATATCCTAAAATCTGTAATATACATGGGGTCGTCTATTAACTTAATGAAAGAAAATGTCCTAAATTTCAACATAAGAACTTGCCAATTGGAAGTTCAAACAATTAAATCGCTGAAACCCAGCAAACTTTGCCCCACTAATCATAAATTTTATTTACATAATTTTTCACAAAATTATAACGTGTTATTAGATAGAGACTTCGTAGAGAGTACTCAAGCCCTAATAGACTACAAAGATAAAAACCATACGGATAAGGGAATATACATTTACCATGCAAGACAATTCGAAAAGCGAATTGCCAGCGAATGAGTCAAAAATTGAGTACCCCGTTCCGCCCCATCAGATGACGAACAATTTGTGTTCGCCATCAACAACGAACTCATAGAGTGCAACGAATTCCGCGTTGATCATCTAAACGATGAGGAGAAAGAAAAACTAACAAAAATCTTACATGAATTTGGGGATATTCAATACCGAGAAGGTGAAAATTTGACCTTTACAAGCCCGGTTAAACATGTCATCCAAACTACCCATGAAGATCTGGCTTATAAAAAACCATACAAATATGGCCAAGCATTCGACCAAGAAGTCGAAAACCAGATCAAAGATATGATCAAACGAGGGACAATTCGCAAGTCGAAATCCTCTTACTGTTCGCCAAATTTGATCATACCCAAAAAGAGGGATGCATCCGGCAAACAAAAATGTAGAATAGTCATTGACTATCGAAACTTAAATGAATTCACAATTGATGACAAATACCCCATACTAGCAATGGATAGCATACTGGGAAAATGTCAGTATTTTACTACTGACCTCGGTAAGGGCTTTCGCCAAATCCAAATGGATGAAAGTTTGCAATTAGACAAATGTGAATTCATGAAAAAACAATCAATTTTAGAACTGCGGATTTTACCGAAAGTTCATCCCAAATTTTGCGAAAATAGAAAAACCAATGACGGCAAAACTAAACAAGTAAGAGGTCGGAAGCTTCCGATTAGGGGATACCCTGAACTCTCTTATTTCAACACCAAATTATATAAGCCAACAACACCAATTAATAAAAAAAAGTTCCCTTGGCAGGGCTCGAATTTGCAACTGACCGCATTACTTACTGTCGACTAAACTCAACAGCCACACCAGCAAAAAAATATAATAATAAACTTTCCCCGGTAGGGCTTGAACTCGCGACAGACCGCACCACTTGCTATGCCTCTACTCAGCAGCCACGCCAATAATTAAGTACTTATGATAAAATAGGAACTAAAATAACATTACAAATAAAGATGCAATTACCATGCTATTAGAATGCGAAGCAGACGCGCATGAATGTGTGTGTGTACATGTATACAGAAATTCTTAAAGCTGCTGCCCCATTCCATTCGCAGTTGCATATAACTTTGGTTTTTCTTAACCGATCTTTATAATAATTTCTACAGTATATCTTATTGTACCATAGAATTTTT